GCTTTTCTTGTCCTTTCCCTCCCTCGCCCCTCACCCCCGACGTGGATTTGCTGAATATTTGCAGATCGGGCTGGCTGCCGATGGGAATTTGGGGCCATTGTTCCCACAGCAGACCGGGGCCCCTTTCGTCACACTGGCCACTGGGCGGTCCCCCAACCTGGCCTCCGCACCCACCCCAACCCTCTGCAACCATTTCCGCCATTGGGCGAAGGCAGTGGGCACACAAGGCTTGGTGGCGGTAGTGGTGACAAGGTGCATTAATCGCTGGCTCTTGGCCACGTGCTGTGGGCTAAGCTATGGCAGGCAGGAGAGGTGCTCCCCAGGGACCTCATAACAGCGGCTCCTTACTGCAAGCCCAACAACGGGCAGGTCTCAGAGGCAGGAAAGTGGGCCCTGGAGCTCAGCGGGCGCACCCCTTCCAACAGGAAATGAGGTGTGGCTGCAAACCCACAGCCCCTGGGGAGGCCGGATTTCCTGTTAAATGCAGGGCACTGGGCAGCCCCATAACCCCTCTCACTCTTCCTTTCCTGCAAGCTTTTCACGAGCTTGCTTTCTTCCCTGAAGTCGACTTTCCCAGGTGTACCTCCTGCGAGGGAATCGACAGGAAGGTGGAGCCTGGGCCTCATCCAGTCCGGTAGTCCCAGCAGGCCAGGCCCACTGGAGCTCGGAGGACACTCCCAGCAGACTGCGCGAGCTTCCCCAGGGGCCCAGGAATCCAAGGTGGGTAGGTGGGCCCTTCGGTGTCTGTATAAACAGTAAATGTCCTCGCCGCCTCCTCATCAAAATCATCGTCGCCAGGATGCAGGGAGCATCCTGCACGGGGCAGGCTTGGAGGGTTGGACCTCCTGCTTCCTCCCTTCATCCCTCATCAGACTGTCTTTCAACTGGAGACTCGGGCGCGTCAAACGGACTGACGCTCCGACGTGCCGACGCAGCCAAGGGATGCTCTCCTGGAGCTCTCTCCTACCCTGATGGTTTGAGTAAAGAGGCACTGGCTGATTTCAGAACCCCCTCCCCCACCGCCCATCGTCAAGTGGCCTGGGAACAAGATTGGAGAAGCAGCCTGCTTGTTGCCACAATCAAGTTCTTGTTCACGTGCCCTGGCCCAATCCTGTTAGAAAGAGGGTCCCTTGATTCCGTAACCCTCAGCCCAGGTTAGGAGACGGGGCGGGAGAGGGGCACGTTAACCTGGCTTCTAATCGCTACAATTAGGAAACTAAAATTTCTAACTTGCATTATGGTTTCAAATCTCTGCGCCTTGCTATTTTTTCCTGCTGCCAGGCCCCTTGGCACAGCCAACACTGTCTCAAATTCCACGCCAGAAAAAGGACCCACTATATGGCCGTGATTTTATCATGAAAAAGACTTGCTTGGCTCCAAAATAAGGAAAAAATACTTAAGCATAATATTTGTGCAGTTCAAACGCAACGCTCCCTCTTTTCATGTGTCACTGAGGCAAATCTGGACTCTGATTCAGCCCTGCAGCCCACAACACTTGACCTGAACACAAACAGCCTGAGTCACGCAGGCCCGACACACATGTGAGAGGCCTCTTACTGGCCGAGTATTTTAAGCACCGGCCTCATGGGCAAAAGGCCATGGGGCCAGGTCCCAGAACACCCCCCTTGTCATCCCTTTCCCTCAGAAGTAGGAAAACGTCTTTTTTCTAGAACATTCTATTTCAGTCAGTCACGGAGTAATTCAGTGTCTGTTGATGGCGTTTTCCTTGACTCCTCCTTCCTCTTATCTTTGTGGCACATACTTAGCTTCCTGATGACCAGCCTGAAAAATCTAAAGTTTTCTTGCAGAAAAACCAACTATCTTAACTCAAAAGCCATCGAAGCATAATAACTCAGCCCTTTTAAATGTCCACCGTGATCTAACACCTGGTATTAGGAATCAAGGAGAGACGAAGGCAGGAGAAGGATTCTGGAGAATTCTACTGCCTCAGAAAGAATGCCAGTCGGCGAAGTAATGGTGCAGAGGCTTCCAGCAGGTTTTGTACCCATTTCAAAACTTCGCATTCCTTGGGCACCCAGTGGCATTTTTGAAGAACACCGTGTCAAGGACAGTGGGTGACCTGGGGGAATGCTGTGTACGAGATCATTCTGAATACTTGGCATTCGGTGTTTTGAAGAAAGGCCATCAATTGTGTCTGCCTCAGCCACCAAGCTTGGGGACCACGTGCCACCAAGAAACCAAACACGAATGTCATTTCAGGTAAGCCACTACAATGGCCAGGCACAATTGTGAGATGATTTTTTTTTTTTTTTAAATGAGTCCCCTCTCATTGTCCTGTGCTTAAAAAAAAAAAAATTAACATGTGAGCGATTTCTGTACCAGCTGACACCTGCCAAAATCGTAGTCATTTATAGAGATTAAGTGATGACTGTCTGCTTTCGCAGGAATGTTTGGGCATAATTCTCTGAGAAAACAATTCTTCACTCTAAGCTATTTCCTAAGCCCTGAAAGTCACGAGGCTGAGCTGAATGCTGGAGGAGTCGGGAGAGCAGCATGCGGCTCATGGGTGATCCCTGGAGTGAGACCCCCCACGGCCTCCTCCGTCCTCACAAAGGGGCTAGGGAGTTATAACGGCAGGGCTCTGGGGGAATGAAAAGCATTATCACAGTAAGGTGTGGCTCAGATGCATTTATAAGTGAGATCAAAGGAACACCTAATTCTTTTCTGAAACCATCAGATTTCATGTGCCAAAGAGCAATATTTTGTGTGAACTATAGAAGCTTGCAATATAAACTTGCAAGCTAGGGAAAATGAATGCTTTATGTCTCCAGTTTCCTGTATCTGGGGGGTAATTAAAATGTCAATTTGACCCCTGAATGTTAAATACAGGAGAATGGAAAATATCTATTATCAAATTCATTTTTCTTCTTTCTATTGAGTACGGGGCTTCGGAGGGCAATAGGGAACTCAGTTCTGGATCAAACGTCTGGTAGAATTACTGTGTAGCCCTAAATATGTGCATGCTGACAGCCTGGCTTTCTGAGCACGCTGGAAGTAAGTTGGAATGTTACACGGTGGTTCTTAAAACAGTGGCTACCTCAAGATTTCATACTGAATTTTACTGAGTTTTAGGCAGAGTTGAAAAAGATACTAAATTAAATCATGTTTCTCTATTATCATTTTCAGATTTTTGAAACGACTACTTGATTAGAATTTTATTATATCTGCAGTCATAAAAAGCCAACAGAAAAAAATAAATTAATCCCATCTACTAAATTTTACTTCCCTTACGGCACCCCTAAATGTTGTGATATTTGTGATGGATAATGACACCAGCTTTTGGCCTTAGGCTATGAAAACTAGACTGAGTGGGCATGAGTATCTCATCGAAAACTGAACTGCCTTTTTCAAGAAACCGTTGTTGATCTGTGAAATAAGGTATATGATCTTCTATCCAAGAAAACCAGATAAGGCTAAATCGTCACCTTTTCCTGGAAAATTCTGGCTAATGAGAATAATTTTCTAGCAGTTGACATGTTAGTTCATGTTTCTGATATGGGTTCACCAGTTTTCTTGATAGATTCTCAGCAGAAAAATTAGGAAGGTATATACTCAAAAGCATGGACATGATGAGCCACTGAGAAAAATCCATGCAAAACGTAATAGCAAAAAGATATCTATCTATATGTGCATGTGTGTGTCTGTCTATCTATCTATATCTATCTATCTATCTATCTATCTATCTATCTATCTATCTATCTATCTATCATCATCATTATCATCCACCTATCTATCATCTATCTATCTTTGTGATTCTTCTAAAAGGTTATATGTATTTCAAAAGATATTTGTCAATCAATCTGATATTAACGACATGGATCTGGACATAAAAACCTAGATTTTTCTTTCCTTAGTTTGCTACTGCTTTATGACTATGGAAAAGAATTTATGTGTGGTAGGAAACGGCTGATTTTTCCTGGTTTAACAGTCTACTCTCCAGGTTCCAAGGTCGTTCAAGTCATTAGGACTTTAAAGCAACAATGCTGAATGGGAATGTGATCCTTCCTTAAAGCACCTTGCAGGTGGTACCATAAACCTTCCTACCTGCAAACTTATTCGTCTGCTGCTTAATTTATTGTTGAGCAATATTGCCCCATATTATATATCGTGTATATGCTATGTATGCAATATATAATGCAATATAAAATATATGATACATATGTTAATGTTATACATTAGAACACCTATCACGTATACATATGTACAATCCATCCAATGTTATATAAACATAGGTAGCTTAACTTTCCCCCTCAGTCTCTTCCCATATTATTAAGCTAAGAGGATAGCACAAGGTCGGAGCTGGAGAAGGGCCAGAGAAATCAGCCTTGCGCTTTAACCAATGGGTGGAAAGTGAAGTTCAGAGAAGTGATGTCATTTACTCAATGTCACCCAGCCAGTGAGAGAGAGGACAGGTCTGAAATCACACCCACGCCCTCAACCTCTCCCGCACCTCATGTCCAATGCACCTAGAAGTACCAAATTCGGGTGAATAGAGAGAAAAGCAGCGTTGCAGAGCCGTAGGTCACGGGGACACGAGTAGAGCACGTTAACGGTTCGCACTGTCTGCCTTTACAATCCCACTTTCGCTCCTACTTGTGCTTAGAATAGAAGGGCCAGAGCTGAACGGTGGCCCGTAGAGAGAGAGCTGTCACCCGAGCGGGCATCAGACTCTCTGGGTGCTCTGGCTTGGTGGGTCTGGGGTGGGGCCCAAGAATCTAGATCTGTGCTGAGGTCCAGGTGATGCTGCCGCTGCCGGTCCAAGGAACAGACGGGGAGTAAGGGTGTGGGAGGGAGCGACTCCTTCCTGTGGCGTGTGTGCTCTCAATGTGCTTCTCATTTGCTGTGGGCCGGAAATTAAAACACCAAATTCACTAGAACTGT